ACAAGATAGTGGACGTAGGTGGGATTTTAAAAAGGGAATGGCAGCAGGAAACAACGTTAGTACAATATTTGACAAGCCTGGTTACACATTAGGTGTGTTTGGATGGGGGAGATTTCCTAGGCTTGTGCCTGCTGACAGGAGGACGATCTCTACACTGGCTCACACATAACCATTAGTTCCCCTGGATACCAGGTCTTCCTTTGCTTTTCAAAACAAATATTTTGTGGTCAAGTAAACTTGTGAACCATTTGGAACTGTGTTCCTCTTGGGAGAGTTATAGTTCACGTTGGCGTACGTATTAAAGACCAAGGAATCTTGAGAAACTTACTGTGGGGGAAAAAAAAGCCTTTCCCAGAAACATTTGACAGTGTTTTCTATAGCCTGTCTGCTGTTAAAATCTTGTCCAGTGCTGGGTAGACTTGCTGTGTTGTATATTGAAGTAAAAGAAACAAACCAGGGTCCATGTTTTAAAGAAATGGTTTCAGGAAGAAACTGTATTTAGAACATTATAAATCTTTGGGAATTTCTCTCTTCAGACTAACTCTACAGTCATCCCAGTCTTCAAGGATCTCTGTTTGACAGAAAATTCTGACTCTTAGATAGCTTATCAGGATTCATTGTGAGAAATGCTGTCATAGAGATGTGTACTAACCAGTGGTTCTCAAGTTATGGGTTGTAAAATTTTAGTAAGTGTGATTAGCATTTTAAAAAAAAGATTAGGATGGAGTCAGAATCACATGTAGTAAGAGTAATAATGTTTCATGGAACTGTCATTTTAGATATCTATATATGTAAAAGGTATTTCTTACTGTAAGTCATGATAAAATCGGTTGGAGGAATAGAGATATAGAGCCTGAGGGAAAATAAGGGATAATAATAATAATAATAATAGCTAATATTTATTGACTATCCTTATGTTCTAGTCACTGGGCTGAATGCTTTTCATGCATTATTTCATTAAACCCTCACAATAGCTCTGTGAATTAAGTATTATTACTTTCATTTCACAGATTAGGTATTTAATGTATAAAGAAGTCAATTTGCCCATTGTCAAACACGTAGAAAGTGGTGAGGCCAGGATTTTATCCCAGGCATTCTGATTCTAGAGCCCCTAATCTGTACTCTTCCCAGAGAAGGAAACTTCATTCCTTTCTCATGAGAGATGGCTTCCTAGAAGAGGCATGACATTTCGGCTGAGCTATGTAAGTAAGATTTACTCACTAGATACTGTGGTGAGAAGAAGATCTGGAAGTAAGAAACAGTTTTGTGTGTTCCATACGAGTCTTTCAGTTTGCGTAGTCTGGAACACGTATTCGGAGCATAAAGGGGAATAGCTTTAAAGTGGAAGAAAAAAAAAGACCCGGAAATGATAAACTGGCTCCAAATTCTGCAGGGCCTTGAATCTCACGTGAAGGGGTTTAGATTTTGGCTAGTAGGTAGTGGAGAACCATGAAGTAAATTTATGTAGGAAAGTAACAGGATCAGATTTTATGTTTTAGTAAGATAATTGTGGCGAACAAGAGAGTGGATTGGAGAGAGGAGAAACTAGAGGCAGGAAGGAGCTTACTGCAGTAGTCTAACCAACAATCTTGGGAGAAGAAATCATTGTTTTTGTCTGACTAGCTTATATTTTATGTATGTATTGTATAACGGGTGGTATATGCTGGAATTAATTAGATTTTGAAGGGCTTTAATTCACCTGCTATTAACTGAATAGATAATGATAAACCTTGCTATAATGGGGTGCTTAATGTATATTGCTCTGTTTTTATTGTTATTTGTTGGAAATTAACTTTAAAACAGTGATTAGGACTAACGAGCTTGCGTTCTTCCTGCAGATACTGCTTCTAAACAAGGACCCATCGAAGCCATCCAGAAGTCAGTCCGATTGTTTGAAGAAAAGAGGTATCGAGAAATGAGGAGAAAGAATATCATTGGTCAAGTCTGTGATACCCCTAAATCCTACGACAATGTTATGCACGTTGGCTTGAGGAAGGTGACTTTCAAGTGGCAAAGAGGAAATAAAATTGGTAAGGAAACAAGAACATGACGTGAAGAGTCTCCCTGTTAGAAATTGCAGTAGTTGTACTTCTTTAGGTTAAATCCTATATATAGTTGGTCCATGTTTCTATTAGAGACATGGCAAATATACGTCATATCTTTTTGCAGAGGGTTCTGTTTTGTTTTGTTTAATTTGTAAATTGTGTTCTAAGAGCAATACAAAATGAGATTTTAGAAAGATTTTTAAATGGCTCATTAAATGGAATAGTTTTGCTTAATAACTCCAGAAGTTGCCAGTGGAGAACTACTGAAATTTTGTCCATTTGTTCTAATCTGTATTCTTTTTATCTTATTCTCACAAGAACTTTATTTGAAGAGAGACTGGATACAATAGGGACAAGACAGTCTTTTTTTCTAAAACATCGCATAATTAATTAATTTCCAGGCAAAACTGCTTCTTATAAAATAACTAGTGGTAGATTGTGTGAGGGAAGAAGCCTGATAATGTCTCAGATCCTTCCCCCTATTTAAGTGCAAGGGACAGTTGTAATATAGGTCCTTGTGAGCCTCAGGAAACCTAAAGTGTCCTTAGAGCTACCAAGTAGGGGAAAAAACATGGAAAACAATCAAGTACTTTGTAAATTTTATTAGTATTGTTATCAATCTTGTTCAGCCATATGTCTCCTCGATTTAGAGAGTATCTTCTCCTGGACATGCAGCACTGAGGCCCATTCCTGGCCACTCCCTTCGGCCCCCAGCCCAGACTTTGAGAGGCTGAGGGCTTAGAAGTGTGCAGCAGGGCTGCCTGTCGCCCATATTCCTGCTGCTTCTGGGATTTGCCAAGGGCAGCTCTACTCTACTGATCTTTACAGATAAGACATGTTGAAGAGATGCCTAAGACTTCAGTTATTAGGGAACATTCATAACTATTTTGGATCTTGCAATATAAACGATAGTAAACATAATTATAGATACATAAACATCTAGAATAATTGGACAATATTATTGTAAGTTTGAATAACTTAAAACAACCTACCTGTGGTGACTAGAAGAGCAGCCTGTTGCTATCGTTCACAGGAGAAGGACAGTATGGGAAGGTGTACACCTGTATCAGCGTTGACACCGGGGAGCTGATGGCTATGAAGGAGGTGAGTTGTCTGGCTCACTGCAGGCCTTTGTGTTTGATGACTCTGTGTGATGGAGATTCAGTAAAGACCCTGGTGTTTATTAAGTTCTTCATGCATAGAGCTGGCTTAAGTGCTATCCATATGAGAAGGTCTCAGAATTTAGGTCTCAGTACTGCTTTTTAGCACTTAGACAGTCAGGACCAGCCAGGCAGATGATCTGAGATAACCTAGATGGAAAGGAAAGGGGTTGTACTTCTAGTTCGAATGATAAGACCAAGAACAAAATAATTCTAACACAACACTGGTATGAGAAGTGCCATACAGAGGGAGACAGAAATAAAGTTTGATGAAGGCTTAGCAAAGAGTAATAACAGTAGCATCTTATAGAGGGTATTTTGTGGGGGAGAAGATAACATTTGTGGTAAACCTCAGCAATGAGTAGCATTTTAACAGCTGGAGGCAGAATAGGGAAGAACAGGGGAAACCTGAGGAAAGGCCTCAGTCAGGGAAACGAGACTGTGGCTGCTGCCTATGGAGACATCCAGATGGCACGGAAGGAGCTGGCAAGAGGGTTCTGTGGCCAGCAGTGTCCCAGCAGCCTTGTGCTCTTGCTGTCGATGGCCGTGTCCTTAGCCACACGGTGCTGGTCACCCCCTGTCCTGAGCCACTACGCCTGTCATTCATGCAGTGCCTTTCCTGCGAATCACTCACCCATACTTCTTTTCTCTCCTCACTCCAGTTTGATTGTAGACTTCTTTTTTTAAATTTTTTTAAACATTATTTTTATTTATTTATTACTATTACTTTTTAAATTTTTATAGAATCATAATTGATTATACATATTGTGGGGGTTCAACGTTGACATACGATCAAATCAGTATTACTAGCATATGTATTGTTACAAATCGTACTTATTCTTTATGCCCCTTGTCCAATCTCTCGTTGACATACGATCAAATCAGTATTACTAGCATATGTATTGTTAAAAATCGTACTTATTCTTTATGCCCCTTGTCCAATCTATCCCCATCCCCCTCCCCCTCCCCCCTCCCACCGCTGATCACCCTAGATTTCTTCTCTCCTTCTGAAAGAATAATGGTTACTCTGTTGATTTGTTGCC